GTGTCACTGATTATTTGATTTTGAGTTTTGGTGCCGGAGAAGCTTTCTTAGATGACAATAAATTTATTTTATTTTATTTTTTTTTATTATTACAATCATATGCTTTAAGTAATTTTATTTAAAAAATTTTAAGCCAAAGTGCTATCCATAGGACAAAAAGTGGATTGGGGCTTTTTAAAAAGAATTGGCCCAGCTTTTAAAAAATAAAAAGAAAAGAAATTGATAAAAAACTCGAAAAATTAATGTTAGTTAAATTTTTTTTGTAAAAATAACACCAATAATTCAAAAGAAATGTATTATAATTTTTAAGTGATACTTCCTGTTTTGTTCCTCAGACACATGTGTCCAAATAAATATAAATCACACAAATAACGCATTCTTGCTCTTAATGGGATTAATGCCTTAACAGATATTTAATTTCCTTCGATGGTGTTGGTATGAATACAGATGTTTGGATCCTGAAAATACAACGAATGAAATGATTGACAACGCGATAACTTCTAAAATAGCTACCCATATTTAAACATTCGCGCCAGCAATCAGTATAAACAACGGAGTTAATTTGTACAATCGAAAGAATGTATGGTATTGGGGTATCCGCATTTCTTTGTTCTACTCTTATTATAACCATTTTTCTTTCTGGAGATCATTCAATTATTTTATGATCCCAAATCCCGTAATAATGTGCCTTATATTATATTTATTTTTGCCGATTATCGTTTGATCTACTTCAACTGTTAATTGCCTTCTCACATTGGTTTAATTTTTTCAAGGTAAATATATTATATATATTAAAAGATCTTATAATTCTAAATATATCTTTTACTTGATCAATTGATTCTCCTATAATACTTCTAATTAAATTAACTGATAGTCCTATTGACCACATATTAATAACTTTCTATATAAAAATGAGATTTGGGGTATATTATAAAAAAGAGTTCTTTTTCACATTGAAATCGTGTATTTGCATTTATAACAGATAAAAATCAATGTTGCATTAAAATTGCCCTGGTCATCATCTCCTTGCAGCGATACTTTTTGTCGTATTTTACTGCCATATTTTTGACAACCCTGATTGCATATTTTCATATAAATATTTCTATAAAAATATTTTGTCTCCTCCTCAGTCATCGTGCTATTGTTTGAGAAATTCATTTTTAGGGAATAAATTTTTTAAAAAAACTCTAACCAACTTTTTGTACCATAAATAACACTTTAGCCAAATTTGGGGGTATTTTGGAGTAGGGGGCTTTTTTAAAAAATAAAAAATTTAAAAAAGAACAATAAGAACTTTTACTTAATTTTAAACATTACGCAAAATGTTAAAAAAATATTAAAAATCTTTTACTTTTTCCGGTAATAATAATATCTGAACGAAAACTCGAATAAATATTCTGAAAATGCTCTTCCTGTAGTACCATGTTGTATGCCCAATTATTTTATAACATTATTTAACATGCATTCAATGTTTTGAGTATAAATATTCGAATCAGTAGAATTCACAAAATTTAGAGAATGATTTACTTCTTCATGCTCATATATATATTTCTGTTATACAAACATTGGTAGGTGTTGCGCACTTATAACCAATAAAAGTTAAGAAAGGATGTCACCACGCCCCCTTTTCGTTCATCCTGCGGTGATATTGGTGTTTGGATGATACATCAAGCAGTATTATTATTTATTGATGCAAAGTAAGGAGGAAAAATTATTTAAAAAAAGTTATATCAATAAATATAGTTTTCACTAAAAAGCATTTTTCAAACAGCTCAGCCTGTACAATGTTTTTTCCGAAATAAGTATCGTTCCGACCTAGATTCCATCAATGGACACTTCATATATCCGAAATTGTTCTTGATCCGCTTCTAATTCTTTGTGATATTATTCTCGTTGTAGTATTCCAGCTTCTATCAGGAACAGGTATCAAAAAACATTTCTTGAATTTCGTTCAACGCCGCCGAATACCCAAATAGGATTACTAATACGGCGTCTATTATTTTTTCTTTTATAAAACAGAGAATCGTCAATTTTTACGTCTATTAAGCGACCATTTTCATCAATGCTTCCAATGATGCCATTGAAATCTTTGCAATAAATCGCTATAATATTACGAAACAATTTACACCATTACGATGTAGTATTTGCTTCAGTACCAATACGGCTTTGGGAATAACCTTTGCCTAATAATATATCAACAAGTGGGTGTTATTTAAACACAGTCCCACAGAAGTTAAAAAATAATAAATATCTCCCTTTTACATTGTATAATTAATTTCAACATGGTATTATATTTAAGGAATGCGATTTTTTTATTTTTACCCCCAGAGATGGTAAGGAATTTGTACGATTCAATTTTTAAAGATATTAAAAATACAACTAATTACCTGCCCACAGCCAATTTTTTGCTCGAACATTCAAATGCGATTATGGTGGCTTTATGAAACATGCACAAAACCAGTTAATTTTAGAAGATAAATACTTCTTTTTGTGCTAATGGATTCAAGAATCGAAAAGTACCAAGACGAACACAATATTCAATAAATCGAGGCAGCCTTTGTATATTCATCCAAGGATAAATTATTGTTGGATCTTGGGACTAAGTAATGTAGTCGTATGATCACCATGCGAAATTTTTGAGCCCGCTTATGTTTCTTATAAGGATGTTATTTTAGAAAAATAAAAAATGAAATTAAATTTTTTTTTCTAAAATAAGCGGACCTAATAAAATTATCCAAGTTGATGAAACTGCAATAAGTAGAAATAGGATGATCACCAATACTACTTCAACACAAGATACAGTATCATGTAAAGCATGGTTAATGGGAGGAATTGAAGAAGATGGCGATAATTTCTTTCTTAAAATTAATAACAGGTCGGCCAACAAATGATTAATTTTTCCAATGTTTATGTTGAAAAGAAAATATTATAAGAATAGATTGTTTTGCGTCGTAAAGATCATCAATTGTAGATTTTGGTTCTGTTCATCAAATAGAAAACCATAGTTTTGGATTTACAAATGAAAGTGGTGAACATACGAATAAAATTGAAAATTGATGGAGTCATTTAAAGACTGAGTTGCGTGCACGGCGTGGAGTTATGAAAGTAAACATTGAAGATTTTATTTATGAATTTCAGTTTCGAAGAGAATTTTTAAAAAAAAAATTCAACAAGTTTTGCAACTACATTTAATAAAATAATATTGTTCTATTTTTGTTTAATTTTTTTTTAACCCCGTGGGACTGTGTTTATGGGGCACCACAAATTTAATTATAAATAGCTTTATTAATTAAAAGTAATTCAAAATTTTTTAAATGTATCAGACAAAAAAATTCTTTTAAACCAAAAAAAATTTAGAAAGCATTGGATATCTCTTTGACATCGATATCTTGAAGGAATACTTACCTTGATGCCTTCTCGGGTTCCTTCTATCGTTTTGTATGAGTCCAGTTTCGTTTTCGATCAAATTGAAAGAATGATTAACAGATCAATGAATATAATCATAATTGCTTAAATTACTGTAATTTTTTCATCCACCAGTATAAATTATACTTCGTTTCCAGGCATACTGCTCTACAAAATTTATTGTCTCTTATTTTCTGTTATCCAATTTAACAAAAAGCACCTTCCATTTAGACGTTCTTTCCACCATTACCATAACATATACACCATCTACACGGTGACCGCGATGATATTTTTTCTTTCCAAATATAGATTCATCAACTTCAACAATGCTATTTGGGCCATTTATTTAAATTCTTTCTATGATACTACTATCTACTTGTTTTAAAATTTTAGAAATAATTTTTTATTAAAACCTGTTATTTAACTTATAATTTTTGATATTATTTTAGAATAAATAGAAATATAATTTCAGTAACTTTTACTTAACTTAATCTTAAATTACAAAAGGATTTTTTATTAGTTAATGAAACCTTCTTCTTTCAAATTCTTCTTGAGCACAAAATAACGGTTTGTTTATTTTTATAATATGTTAACTTTCCTAAATAAACGTGACAAACGATGTTTTTTACTATTTTATCTGTTGTTTCAAGCAAAAGTTCCGCAACATTTCGCAGCTGCCCCTTTATTTTGACTTTTGTCTTGGGGCTTAAAAAATTTTAAACGACAAGTAAAAATGCGTAGTTTATTGTTCACTTTTCATAAAAAAGGTTAATTATTTGGATCGGGGTCATTACACAATCTGTAAGGTAGTGTAATGACCCTGTTATTTTTTTCTTTTTTTTATTTTCGACCATTAATATTAACAAACGTTGGAGGAGATATTGCACAGATGAATAAACATCAAGCTGTTTTTCTGCTTTTTAGGTACAAAGTAGTTTACAACCAGCAAGGGTGTTTATTGCTATCTAAACACGAACTTTTGGTTCGGCGTGCAACACATCGATGAATATGCTTGGAGGT